TTTATGGTCCATCATGGCTAGAGGCTTCTTGTTCCTGTGTTCTCTTCCTGGGACACCTGGGCTTCCTGAAACCTGGTGAATGCGTTATAGAGTGACATTTCTTAGTCTTTGCCTTCAGTGAGGCCCCAGTACCTATGCCCCCTACTGTAAGGAAGCCAAAAGGCCTAGGCCATGTGGGAAGCTGCCCTGTAGTTATGCAAAACTCGTGGAACTAGGAGACCCACACATTACAACAGCCAGTCTAACTGGATTTCCCAATAAGGCCGCTCTCTCCTGCCTCAGTGGGGAAACACTTAGGGATTGGAGTTGCTTTAGGTTCTAACGTCTGGGGGCCACCAGAGGTTGTAACAACTGCCAGGATATCCCTCTTGCACACACCTCCAATGTTCCTCTCCACATCCACATTTTGCTGGGCCCCTCCAGGCAGCAACAAGGACCCGAAACCATCATCTGAGACCCCATTACTCATATGGCCCTGTGCTGTACTGAGACCTGCGCCCAGATTCCTCAAACATCTGCTGGCCCCACACAACACAGACATGCTAGGTCCGTGCAGTGTAACCTCCCTGAAGACCTGGTCTTCATTATCTGACACAGGACTGAGGCCTTCAGCCTGTCTGCGACTCACACATTCCTGCAAATTCTTCAGTCTGATGTGTCCACCTTCACAGAGATAAAGCAAGGCTTCTGAGATGGTCCACTAGCTTCAATATATGCACAACCCCAAGGCCTAGAGGGTCACTCACTGTATTTGAATTTAGTAAGCTTGACATGGGTACTTAGGATTTCAGGGGTTGTGAGTTTCATTTCTCCTTTCCACGAACCTGGTCCCACTTACCACACCATGAGGTGGCAAGAGATGGTAAGGAACATTAAATAGACATAAATGTTACTCTTCACCATCTTACATATAACAGGTATTTTTATATGTTCATTTTTGCCAATTGAACCCAGGACTCATGCAAACTAGGCAAGTGCTTTTCCACTGAGAGATGCCTTGAGACTGTTCAGCTCCAGTTTGGGTACAATGTCTTTGAGCACACAACCCCAGGAGAAAAGGGCTAAGGACAATCTCTCTACCAACTTGGCAGCCTCCTTGAGGGCCATCAATCTGATGAGTGCTTGGCCCAGATACTTAGAAAGTCCTTTAGCCTGGCCTTTCTACTGGCCAAGCAAGTAGATGCTGGTTTCCTTGGGAACTGCATGCTGCATGCACATCCATCAGTCAGGGAGACTACAGTATGGTCTGCCCACCTCCACAACACAGGCAAGAGTGGAATATCAGCTCACCAGGGCCCAGGCTCCTCATTGGCCAAAAGCTCTAATTGGCTCTCCTGGTGAGACCCCAGCCCCTGGGGACGCTGATCCAAAGTTTATTCTAAGCCCTCTTGGGTGGTCTTGCCGATCTTATCTTAGTCATCTTAGCAAAGCATGAATATGACCTGCAGACTATGATTTCCTGACACCTTTTAATGTTTCTCTGCTCTGGGTGCTTCAGCCTCAGCCACAGGGTCTACCACCTTAGGAGGAAGGGAGAAGGAGCTTAGTCACCACCTAGACCAGGCAAAGACAGCTGGACAAAGGGAAGATGGCCCTTTGGGACCCTCTTCTGACCCCACCACCACAACTCATTGTTCAATCGCCCTTGTGCAAGAGATGTTGGAAATGCCCAATGGAAACACACAGAGATGACGACACCCCACCCAGTGCCCTTTAAATAGGGGAAGTGTGTCCTGTGAGTGTGTGGCTGCTGTGGCTGCAGGAGACCTGGGACTCAGGACTGCTCTCTGCCTGCTTCTGTCGCCCAGCCTCGCTGAGGATCTGTGAGTAACTGAAAGCTCTAGAGCTGTGCCCTCTGCTCACCTCATTGGCCTGATAGCACTTCCTCTGTGCAGGATCCCCATGTGGGAGGCCCTGCGGGGGTCCTCTGCAGGCCCCTGGGAGCTGCCCAGGGGTGTACCTCTCAGCTAAGTTACTGAGGAGCTCAAAGGCTCCAGACACGCACTCTATGGGTCCTGTCCTGCTCAGAACAGTGGCTCCTTCAAACATTCCCTGATTTTGAGAAATGTCCACTGACGTCTGCTGCTCATGTTTCAACCAGGTCATTTGGTTTGGCTACTGACGTGCTCTGTTGCCTGTGTCTGTGGACATGAATCCTGTCTGAACTCCTGCTTTCCCTGTGTTTTCTCCACTTCCTGGTGTGCTTCCTCATCCAGCTGGTGGCTTCCTGTGTGTGGAAAGCTGCCTGCTCTGAGGCCACCCCATAGTTCCACCTTGGCTTCTGTTGCCTCTGCCTTTGGTGTCACAGGCAAGACCTCACTGCCCAGTCCAGGGTCAAGAAGGCACCTCTACGTGTCCTTTCAGTCGTCCTCTGTTCTCAGGTCTTGTGTTGAGGTTTTAAATCCATTTGATGTGAGATAAAGGTCCAATAATGTACATTCTACATCAGGTGGTGCACTTTAGACACAGGTTCTAAGTAGCCACTGCTTGCTCCAAAAGATGGAAAACATCAACAGGCTTCAGCTTAGGCCGCTCTCTGCCCAGGATCCTGCTGAGCTCCTGTCACCCCTGATGAGGCCACTGTGAGCTCCACTCCTGCTCAGGCAGGAGCCTGCTCACCCCCTGACCTCAATACCCCCTTCAGAGGGTGACACGGCCCTGAGCCCTGCTCAGGAGAGCTCACCTTCTACTCCTCTGTGCTCCAGAGGAACTTGCTTTTCAAATTTTAAAAAGGAAACATTTGATCTAAAGGGAAATAGGAAATCTAAGTGGGAAATAGAAAACCTTAGCAGAGTGTTGTTCGTCATTGTCAGTTTGCCTTGAGGACCTCAAGGACAAGGCTCCCCCTCCTCCCATCCAATGGAGACACAGCCACGGGCTGTGAACCTGCTCCTCACACACCTACAAATGCAGCCGATGTCTTCCTCCACACTCTCAGGACCCTTCCTCCAATCCCCCAGGTGACTCCAGCCATGAGGACCCTCGCCCTCCTCGCTGCCCTTCTCCTGCTGGCCCTCCAGGCCCAGGCTGAGCCTCTCAGAGCAAGAGTTGAGGAGGCCCCACACCAGCAGCAGCCAGGACAAGAGGACCAGGTGGCAACCATCTCCTTTACAGGGGATGAAAACTCGGCTCAGGATGCAGGTGAGTGCTGCCTTCCTGTAGGACACACAGAGTACAAAGGCAGGACGGCAGATGGGCCCCAGACTCAGGCCAGCCACAGTCACTGAAGTGACTTCACTTAAGCCCCAGAGCCCTCAAATTTCTCATTGAACAGTGAGTGCCTGATAACTCTTGGCAGAGGATTTTTTTCCTGCGAAAACCTTATATTCCAATATAGGTTTGTGCAGATACTAGGTCTAGTACGTGAAGACACTTACTGACCAGTCCTTTCTGGATCTTAGTCACAGGGAGACAATTTTCTTCTTTCTCTCAGAAGGAACATTTAGGAATGGGAAATGTGTATGAAGGAGTGTTCAGTCATATGTGTGATGGGGCAGGAGTGAAGGCAGGCGAAGGTGTGTGCCTGACCATGTGGGTGACCTCAGCTTGCCATGTGCCTTACTCCAATAGGCTGAGTCTGCACAGGCCACTCTCTGTAATGCACTTACAGGAGAAACCTCCCCACCCAGTCTATACCTCCCCAGACTCTCCTCCTGTCCATCACTGATTCTGACACTTTCTATGTGTCTGCAGGTGTAAGGGCAGGAGAGGATTGCACCTGCAGAAGACCCTCATGCAATGATGGGGAGCGCGTCTCAGGAACCTGCATAGTGAATGGCGTCTTTTACCTGCTTTGCTGCAGTTAAATCACAATTTGCTTTGACACCTAGAAGGCACCTGCTGTTTCACTGTGCCATGTCATCAATTCCCTCCCAGCCAAAATAAATTCCTTGCAGCAAGCTCTCTGTTCATTTGCTCCTTGGAAGCTTGCTGTGTGTCCCATGAGCACTCCTTTGGGTCATCAACAATGAATGCACTTTAAACAAAATCCGGGCTTCATAGATGGGATTCCAAGGTGAACACAGGTTCAGACAAGGAGTGGTGAGAACGCTGAATTGCAGCTGGTGCCCCTGATTCCCTCTCCTGTCTCTGAGCTCTGCCCTCACTTAGAGTGGACTCACTCTCAAAGACTCTCCCATGTGGTGGCCAAGCAATCACTGTCTGCTTCCAGTTTGCCATTACACCTTCTAGAGAAACCGCCTTCTCTCTTCAAAGTGTGGGACTTTTCCTGAACACTCTGAGGGTAATCTGTTTTTTAGGCCCTGTGCTGCAGAGGCTCCACACGGACAGCTCTAGGAGTGGAAGGAAGGGTTCTTAGTGGGGACAGCCCACATAGGAAGAAAAACAGAGTGCCTCTCAGGCTGACGCACTCTTGTCCCCACCATATAGCACATTAGTGGAGCTTGGTTGGACACACAGAGCTGGGTTCCAGAGGTACTCCAGGCACCAGCAGGACTCAGCCCCACCTGGCCCCAGGCACCCGGGTGGATGCCTTCAGCTGTGGGAACCTGACTCTGCCTGTAAAGTGCAGCTTCCAAGGAGACCTAGAACTGAAGGGGTCGGAGGCAGTGACCAAGCCACCCAGAGTTCACGGACATGCTCCAGGGTGCTGAGGGGTTGAGCCTCAGTGCTTTAGGCAAGGCTACTGAGGGCAGGATCTGGGTGTGGGGAAAGGAGGGCTGGAGCAGGGTCCCTAGATCCCAGGGTCTGGACCAGCATGGCCACTGCTCCCTGCTGCCCTGTGAACCACACAGCCACCCAACACACACACACACACACACACACACACACACACACAGGACCCCACCCTTCCCTACCTTGTCCTCCTCTTCTCAACCAAGATGTCATGCTCCTGCTTAAAACCTGTGTCTGAAGGGCCAGCTCCGTCTTGGAGAGGTAGGATGCGTTTCTCACTCCTGTGGGTCCTTTCCTTCCCTCCCCAAGAAAAACCCCTGACTTCTGGGCCTTTTGTCCCCAAGTCCACCACGCAGGAGCCCCTGAGAGATGGCTGGTGTGAGCCCCTGAGTCCTCACCTGACTCCACCCAGTACTTCCCTAGGGATCCTGGAGCACAGGACTGGAGATAGGGGTGCCAGGGCATCCATGGTACTCCTGCTGTCTATCATTAGTAGATGATGCACGATTTAGAGCAACAGAGACCATAGGTTGCAGAGAGGGATCCAGTGACACAAGTGGAATTATTTGCAATCTAGTAGACACTGAGATGGGCCCAGACATGACAGTGACCACCAGAATGAACCCATTCCCAGAGAGCCCAAGGAAACAGGTCCTCTTCCCTCATGCTCTCCACTGGAACTCTGAGGTCTGTCTTAGCCC